TAATATATTTCTTATATGCATTTCTAGTTTTTATGAGAGGGTGTACTGCTAATGGGAAAATGTTTTTCCACTACTCCGTTCATATAATTTTAAATACCATCGAATAACAAATGAACTACTTGTCCGAAATTTGATTACAATAATCTCCATAAGTATACCAAAAAATATTTTGCTTTAGAATATAAAAAAAAAATTATGGAACAATGATATTGTCTTTCATTAAATTTATCACGCCATATAAAATAACTTTAACAACAATTTTTTTCATGTTGTCACCCTAGTTACACTTTATTCATAATAATTAGGCAATTTTTACCCTTGTAATAATTTTTGTAAATTTGTTTTTTCAATAGAAATTAGACAAAACTAGTATATTGAAATGATATTTTATTAAAATAAACGTTTGTCAAAGATAAAATAATGATATATAACAAAAATATCAAAACATGTTCGATAAACATGCAACATGTTTAATAAAAGGCAAAAGATTTTAGATACCTAATAATAAATTAATCACAGCACATGGTTTAACATAGATGAATGATAACATATTCTATTTATACATTACTCTAAGAAATTTGATTAAATCACTAGCCCTATGGTAATTTATTGAGATCAGAGAAAAACTGTGGTTAGGACCTAAAAAAATGGTGTTACAAGATTAGAAGCAACCAATTGTAATATTTACGTATTTCACTAAATACGTATAAGGTTAAAAAAAATAAACCTGAAATTGGTGTACAATAGATGTAGGCAAGGAAACTCTTTTACCTGTGTAATAATTTATGTTGAAGTATCTATACGAGGTGTGACAATAAAATAACGAGACTTTTTGAATAAAATTTGTTTATTTTAAAAATGTTATAATTTAATGATTATCACCTTCAAAGTACCTTCCCTAAGCATCAATACACTGTTGCATACGTCGCTGCCATTCTTGAAAACAGTGTTGCCAATCGCTTTCATTCAGCCCTTTTAGAAGTTCTGCCGTTTTCATTTTTACGTCATCAACTGTTTGAAAATGGGTTCCTTTTAATAAACTTTTAATTTTTGGGAATAAGAAGAAGTCGCAAGGAGCAAGGTCTGGCGAGTACGGGGGATGTTGAAGTACAGAAATTTTTTTTTCAGTTAAAAAACGTTGAATTTAAAATGCACTGTGAGCTGGAGCATTGTCTTGGTGAAGAACCCAGCCATTTTTCCATAGATCTGGTCGCTTCTTTCTGACACGTTCTTTTAATTTAATTGATACCTCTTTATAATAATATTGATTGACTGTTTGCCCACTAGGAACCCATTTTCGTTTGTTGAAGACGTGGTAGGACGTCCAGAACGATCATCGTCTTCGACGTCCTTCCTTCCACTACAAAACCGTTTGTGCCATTCAAAAACACGAGCTTTTGATAAACATTCTTCGCCATAAACTTCACATAACATACGAAACGATTCCGCGGCAGTTTTTTTTAATTTAACAAGAAATTTAATGTTAACACGTTGTTCGATTTTTATATCTAACATTTTTCGGCAGTATAGTCGAACTCGCACTAATAACAAGGCTACTAACGTATAAGAAAATTAATCGATGTCATCAGTGTTCATAGTACTTTTAGATAAGTGTTTTCTAATCATATTTCAACAGTCGTTTTATAGATAACGTTAATAGTTTAGGTTATATTTAGAAAGTCTCGTTATTTTATTGTCATACCTCGTA